AACAAAAAGAAGAAGAATCCCTACTTACCTTAGTAGGATGACTACTAAGGCAATTAGAAAAATAAGAAGCTTTCTAGGGGCCTCTTGAAAAACAGGCCCCTTTCAAAGAAGACTCTTCTCACTACATGCCATTGTAGGCCAAATGGAACTGATCAACTGGCATTGTTCAGAAGTTCTTGGATTCTCCACCGGGATCCAAAGGCTGAGGATATGACGCATGCGCATGCCGCTGGGCTGGTTTGTGGCCTATGAGGTAGGAGCAAAGCAAATAAAATGTCAACACATGCGTTCACCTAACATTCTAAATTCAATGTCCAACTGGCCTGAGCTTTCATAGCTGAGCTTCCAACCCTGGCTTTCACCTGTGCTTTTGCCTTCGCTGCAGCTTTCGGCAAAGACTTGGCCCTTGCCTTCGGCTTGGCCTGCAGGTTTGGGGTCATGGATGGTCATGATATCGTTCGAGTCAGGCTGAAGAGTTCGTGTCGAGTCAACTCTGTTTGACCTCCGCCTTGCTAAACAAACAGTTCAGACTTGTCAGTAGCGGAACGCGACGCAAACAACACAAAGGGCCGCACCCCAGCATCCGGTAGCACCACGCTCATGCGCTGCAGATCCAAGTCAAGTCTGTCAACTATACACTCCTGTCCAAAGCAGCCCACATATGGGTGGGATTAGGGCAACATCAACATCTTTAACTGGTGCACAAGTAACCCCTTTCCTTGACGGAGTGCAGAGTTTCTACAAGGTCCCTGGACAGATCATTTCAACCATTCTCCTCGATGTAGTCGCCCCTTTTAAACGTGCGACCAATGGATGTAGGAACATTCAGTCTTGCATCTCTAACCTCAACCAAACAGGAGCCATACTTGATTGTCTTTCGTCAGTTTCCTCCCAAAACGTCTAAGTCTGCGTTGCTTGCATTCCTGGTTTGTAGCACTGTCTGGCCAGGAGGCAGCACCCACGTCGACGAAAACGCCGTAGATGCCCACATTCGTGACAGAACCTGCGAATGCATCACCAATCTGGATCTCCTCCAGCTCGGTAGCACCTGGCAGAAGCTCAGCCTCTAGAGGTGGAGGGAGCTGATGCCTCCAATCCACTAACGAGCCTGATTTGGATGCCTTGCTTTGACTTGCTGCCTGGACGAAGTAGCTGAGCTTCAGCGCACGCAGCAGTCCAATCAATCACTCTGGCAGTGCTGTCACAGTAATCCACATAAGTTCCGAATGTGGGCTGCAACAAACAGAAACAAATACTGTATATAGCTGAAATCGTCTGAAATAGCACAAAAACTTCACAGTTTGGGGGGAGTTTTCAAACTAGCGGCATCCAACAAGTGCTACCTCGTTCAATACATTGCAGCGCAAGTTGCATCTGCTTTTGGTACAGGTAAGGTATCCCAATTTGATGCTCTTGAAGATCTTCTTTGCCAAAAAAGACAAGCACCCAGGAGTCATGTGTCCCTATTGAGGTGGCCAGTCAAAAGCCAGTCAAAAAAAAGGAGCTCAAATAAAAAATTGGATTCTGTTCTTGACATTGCTTTGGCCTGTTTGGCCCTCGATTGTCCTGGCCTTCGCTTTGGGCTTTGCTTTGGGCTTGGCCTTTGGCTTGGCCTTCGGGGTAGCTTTCGCCTTGGCCTTGGCCGGCTCCTTGGGAGGCAAACCGCGCACCGCCGCCTGGGCCAAGTGAACCCAAAATGTGTTCACGCCTGTGCTGTCGAAAGATATGAGATGTCAAAAGGAAAGATGAACTCATAAGATGAAAATACATTCAAGAGGCAAACGAGCAATGTGCAAACGGCTGAAAAGCAAGGATCGAAAACATCAAAATACGCCATGGACTCAAGAAGTGTGAACAGAGTCCAACCTGATAGTGATGGCCTCCAACATAGTAGCTTCTTGTTACTCTAATAAGGATAGTCACTTAAAAATGATAAGGACTTGTCAATCAGCACCACCTCCGGATCCGGCAGGATCACACTCATGCGCTGTTGCTCCAAATCAATGCTGTCAACGGTGCAATCCTTCACAGATCGGCCAATGGGATTTCTTCCGACAGCAAATGTGCATGTAATGTATTGGTCAAAAATGCCGTTTGTTCTGATCTCAACAAGACCCTTTACCCAGTTCACGGTCGCACTTTCGGCACCCCCACCTGGACAACGTCTCCGATCCGGAACTTGCGTCCAACGGATGCTGGGACGTTCAGTCTTGCGTCCCTAACCTCGCAAGAAACTCACTCAAAGTTGATAAACTGTGTAATTCCTATAACGTTGTCGATAGACTATAGACCGAGAGGCTCTTGTGTCTTTCACTGTCTGTGGAGCTGCCTTTGGTTCCTATGCTTTGTGCGTGCTGGCAATTTCCTGCCCAGTTCCTCCGAGTAGCAGCGCCCAGGTCGACAAAGACCCCATACACACTGACGTTGGTGACCGTCCCTTCAAAAACATCGCCCTCTGTGATGTCTTCCAGTGGTGTTGCACCTCCAGCGCTAGCGTGCTAGCTGGCTGGCCTTTATGCTGTTCAAGCACAAATCCTTAAAATGATGCATACAGTTCCACTTGGGCTTCATCAGAACACTCTACTCAGTCTGTGCTCAGAGAAACATAAACCTTGGGTAATCCTTGACATACCCAATCGTTTGAAAGCATGTTCGCAAAGGAGCAGAAACAATATCAGTGTCAGGGCCTTGTTAATCGTCCAGAGCCTACATTGACCAAAACATGCAACCGTACCCTTTCAGGGAGGATATGCTGATTGCAGGGACGAGATGAGTCTGTAGGCTACAAGTCTTACGTTCACTTAAAGGCTTCCAGGCTGAGAAGCTTCGGAATCGGTTCACAACGAGATAGCTGGCTAAGTGTGAAGGGACAAAAACCATCTGACCTAACTTGTACTTCATGTCATTTTCATGTGGTATCGTTGTTTTTTCCGTCTAGCTTAGCTCAAAACAAAGTCACATCGGCACGTCCCTTGCCGCCTTGGTGGCCCCAGTCTTTTCGTGGTCGACTGCGAGGCCGCGGGCTCTTGGCCCGGCTTTGGGGTGCTGGGCTCCGCCCCCGAGTCGCCCTGGGCCTCGGAACGGGCGGTTCTGGAGCACGGAGCATTCAGAAGCTCCAACCCGCCTCGGCTCCAGCTCCATTCCCTGCAACTGACCCTCATCCACTTCCATGACCACCTGGAAGTGTGATCGTATCGGCCTCTCAGCCTATCAGCCTATATCAGAAGAGAACATCGATACACGACATCGACATGCAATTCCAGACTTCTCAGATCTCAAAGCCGAGGATCTTTGCCAGCATCAGGGTCTATAGACCTCACACTCGAGTCTATGGCTATGGAATCTGAAACCAACACCAGCACTCCAAACATGTTGGGTACTGGATCAGGTGTAAATTGGCAAATCGAGAAAAGCCGAAAAACAGGATCGTCAAGTCTTCGATCTGCATGCCCTTCCTCAGACGGCGCCCTAGCCTCAGGTGAGTCGAAGGTGTTCCTTTTGAAAACGGCTTTGGGCAAACAAGTAACAAGAAGCTGCTAGGGGCTCCTGGCATCGCTACTAGGAGCAAGGACGCTACTAGGGGCTCCTGGCCGTACTACTAGGAGCAAGTAGCTACTAGTAACAAGAAACCAACATGGACCCTATGTGAAGTGAGTGAGCTCTTGGGGAGATGTTCCTACAGGCTGAGTGACACCATCATACACAAGAAGGGTCATCTTCATCGTCCCTCCGCAACAGGGTAGATCCTAGGAGCATGGAAACCAACATCCTGCCATTCATATCTCCAAAGCAAGACACACCCACGTCACATATATAAGTTGCTCCTTTTAGTTGCAGTTTACACTGTCTCTCATTGAAAGCAGTTCTGTCTCATCGGCTCAGCTCAGACGCTTCGATGGAACTTTGAGCAGCCCATCTTTCACTGCTCCGAAGTCCACAAAGACGCCAAATCTCAGAAGTTGGGCTGATGAGGGACAGTCAAGTTTCAATGTTTCTCAGAGGATACCTCTTCCCTTGATCGTGCAGATTCTGATGGAGCAAGACCTGCGCCTTTCGGACAAGACACTGACCCACATTGGTCACTGTGCCCGTGTAGCTCGCATTTGTATCGACATCCGAAAGCGGTGTTGCGCCATCATGGGTCCAGTCCTGGTGAGTGTGTTGAAACCAAGCAGCTCGGCTAAAATATGATCCAACTCCTCCGATGTAAGAAGAATCAGAAAGAACACCCCACCTCTTCTTCGTGTTTGAGTGACCCTAACTGCCATCTGCCAAGACCATGCTAGACCGCTAGACGTGACTGCCCACTGAAACCTGAGTTGCTTGGTCTTTACTGTATATCTACATGCTCGGCTCCACCCTCCACACTGGCCTTCCCCATCAGTCGAGTGCACGGCCAGGTTGGGGCTCGCCCCGAGCGGTGGCCGCTGGGAGCCAAAAGGCGGTGGCCGCTGGGGGCATCAAAAGACAAAGCTATGCTAGCTACCATAGACTTGTGTTCTCATAGACAAAGGTTGGAGGCCATCGCTCTTAGGTTGGAGACCATCGCTCTTAAGTTGGAGGCCCTCGTTCTTAGGCTGGAGCCCATCGCTCTTAGGTTGGAGGCCCTCGTTCTTAGGTTCGAGGCCATCCCTCTTAGGTTGGAGGCCATCGCTCCTAGGTTGGAGACCCATCGCTCTTAGGTTGGAGGCCCTCGTTCTTAGGTTGGAGGCCCTCGTTCTTAGGTTGGAGGCCATCGCTCTTAGGTTGGAGGCCATCGCTCTTAGGTTGGAGGCCATCGTTCTTAG